AATGTATGATTTGACCTTTAATTTAATTGCTCTTTATAATACTCTAATTATTCATTTTTTTCTTAATGCAAAGATTCTTCCTCTTTAACATTTTGATTTAATTCATTTTTAATACGTGATTTACTTTTACTTTAACATGAAGTATTATTTTTATTTCTATAAGTAATATAAATATAAGACAATTTCCTTCACATTTTGCATCATACTAAAAAGAGAAACATCAAGATAAAGCAAAAAAATTTGAAGGAAACATGGCTTATCCAAGAATTCTCCCATTTGTTTGCTTACTTCTCATTTTCTGCATGGGTTAGTAGATTGCATATTTTATGTAGTATAATTATTTAATTTGTTTTACTTTTTTTTTTTTTAATCTTTAAAATTCTTCAAACTCCTAGTAAGGACATAAAGTTTTATATTTGTGAAGATTAAAACATATATATATATATATTTGTCCAAGATATTATACTTTTTTAAATTAACTATTTCCTTTTCAGTTAGGTAATTGCTTGGTGTGAAAACATATTTTTATGTTATAATGTTTTTATTCTTAAAGGATTACTAAATCGCGGATATGCAAGTGAAGTCCAATACTTAACTCGTTCATCGTCACCCTCAAGTTCAACAAATCCAAAAGGTAATACCTTAAATTTTACTAATGGTATGGATAATTTGTCCCTATGTCTCATTGTAAAGGTTCCATTGAATTAATTGTAATAAGTTCCATTTTGTATTTTATAAAATAACAACTACTAGCTTTTGTATAAACTATTAAATATATATACATATATGACGTAAGCAAGTATTTAGCATATATGTAGATACATATATGTTGGTCAAGATAACTTTTTGTTTTCTGTTTTGAACAAAAAGAAATATTGAGCTTTACCTTATTTTTTAAAATTGCTTTAACTGCAACATGAATTTGTCAACAAATATCATAGTAACCATTACGCAATATTTTTTTTTAAGTAAATGTGAATTCTTTTCATAGTGATGTATTTATGTGTTTCTATATACAGAGGAAATTATCAACGCTGATGTACTATGTTGCAATGACAATCCTCAGTGGGGTAAATGTTTACCGGGAGTTAATGACACAGCTTGTAATGCCTATTGTTCACCATGCTCAAATCATAAAGGAGGTCGTTGTAAACCTGAGACAAAGCATTGTCATTGTTTCTGTTAAAAGAATATATTTTATCTCCTTACTTTGTGAGAAAGTTATCAATAAAATTTACTGATTAATAATATACATTGCACTATTTTACTATTCATATGATTGATTATACTTAGTGGAGTTTCTTTCTTTAATCTTAATCATACCAGGTGTTGTTTTACATACAGCATCTCTTGATTTGAGCGATATTCAAATATACTTTCAGTTGTTGCTATCTCCAATCCACTCACTGAAAGCTTTCGGGATCACTTGGCAGAATCTCTCCTTAAATGGCTAATTGATTTTTCTTTCTTTCTTCACTTTTTTTTTTTGTTTAATGGCAATTAAATTTTTTACCTTTGTTTTTGGAAGAAAGTCGTTAATTTCTACTTAGTTATTTCCTATCTAAAAACAGTTCCCATAAGCTCAAGTCTAAGAAATGCAAAAAATAAATTTTAGCGTTCATATATAAGAGCTGAATGGAATTTGTTAATAATTCTATCATGACCCACTCGTTGCAAATGCATGAGGAATGTACTAATTTGTTAAAAGTACTCGCACGTTTCTTCTCTCCTTAGACATGTACCAATCACTATTTAATTCAATCATTTTTATCTCCTTTTCTTCGTAAGAGATTGTGGTTTAGACTCATACTACCTCACATGTTTCTCGTTTCGAGTATATTTTCTGTTACATTATAATTAGTATTTATGTAACAACTAATGAATGAATATATGAAATTCAATATTACCCACACAGGAACTAAATACCATTGCAGATAAATGCCTAAGATAAATATCAATAGTACCCACACAAGAACCGAAATATCCCTAAGGGATGACTTATACATCACAGGAACTAAATGCCATTTATAAATCCTTAAGAAATTCTTGGGCTATAGACTCAGGTGCTACGCAGCATAAGACTAGCACTTAAAAATAGTTTGGTACATATGTTCCTGTTTCGAGTATTAAAAAGATTATCATTGCATCGTTTTAATGTTTTTTGTTCCTTTTAATAATTTCGTGTGACAATAATGTCATCAATGTATATTAGCAGAGTTGCAATGATAATATTGTCATCAAGCATTTGTCATTATTCTAGGACCATCTGTAATGATAATCTTTTTAATATTCAAAAAAAGAAACGAATGGCCCACTAAGTGAAAAAAAATTCCAACAAAAAAATTAATGGTCCATTGAGTTAAAAAAAAGAGGCTCTAAAGAAATGGAGTGATGACCTAAATAGAGACTATGAGGCAAAAGAGTGTTTCCGTTTGGGGAAAAGGCAAATTGTATCTCAGTACGAGGAGGTTTCTACTAATCTAACTTTTTCTTGTTTATCTTTGTTGGGAATTTCTCCTAAGGAGGGGCACACTTTGAACGCAAGCTCAATAAGAAAGTATAATGTGTCTTCTGCTAGTAATGTTATTAATTCTATTCCTCTCAATGCTGATAAAGATTTGAGGATGAATCCTTTTGAAGAATGGGGAATGATGTGAGCATGGGTATTAAAGGAAGAAAAATTGCCAAGACACAACATTCTCACAAAGTGTAGGATTCCCGCAAACAACCAGAATCCCACAGGAATGCAAGCTGTAGCCTAACACTCATACATGACAAGCACAGAGAACACACATGTCGCAAGAGAGCCGCGCATAGGCATGCCAACAAGTAGACACAGTTGCACACGCTCAGTGGTTAAGGGAATTCTCCCATGGGAAGAAGGAATCCTTCTCCCGCTAGGATTCCTGCGAGCCCACATTTGAAAGGGCAACAACTTCTTGCCTAAGAAAGAGTCTAGCAGCAACCTAGGTCCAAAACTCATCTGAAGAAGGTTCTAAAAAGCAGTCCAAGGACCTAGCAGAAAAAAACCTAAAGTCCTTGCACATACAGCCAAAAGGCCGACTCAATGGGCATCCAAAGGTAAGCAAACCATGTGTCTAAGCAAACCAAGTGACTTTGAAGGCCCGCAGCAAGCACATGTCATGCATGAGAGCCACATGATTGCATGTGCAGCTGTGGTGAAAAGTCCAAACCCATGAGTCCCCTTGCAGCATGAGGAGTCCTCCTCAACCGTAAGTCTTCCTTTTTCTAATGGCTGATTAAAGATTCCTTCTAAGACTCGAAGAAGCGGCTAAGTGAGGTGAGCATGCAATAGAAAATATAGAGGGAGAGTCCTAAATAGAAACACCTACACAAAAAGCCCAATCTCAAAAGAAATGAGTTTTGTCCTTGTGGGTTGAAGTGGAGTTCAAGAAGGGAACTTGTTCCCTTGTTTTCTCACATGTCTCTTATTGTTTTGCTACTCAAGAAGGAATTTCACCACATCTGATAATTCAAGAGAAGGCTCATCTAATTCGACCTTGAGAGAGGGAAGATTATCCCATTAATATTTTAATAATTTTTTATGTTTTTGGATTTGGATAAAATAGAGTTTGGATAGATTTTAAATCTTTAAGTTTGAGTTAAATTAGTCAAGTGATTACCTCTACAATGGCCTCAGTCATAGCATTGTAATTACAACACTTAGTAATCACAATTGTTCAGCTAAATTTTTCTTTTAGTTTTTGCTAATTGAATTACGAGTATTCATTCAAGAGAGATTCTTCAATCATCTCATTGAGCCAATGAACTGAATTGATTTATGGGATAAG